TTGAAGATAAACAAGCAGCCATCTAGCTGAGAAGCAACAAAGCCCACATGGAAGAAGCACACCCAGCCTGAGTAATCATGAGGTGTTGATAGGATCAGGCATCAAAGATCCAGAACAAAAAAAACATATAATTGTGAATGAGGGGGACTAGGGAGTAGAGACCCAAAACCCATCTGTAGGCCATTGGACATCCCGTTATAGAAGGGTCGCGGGGAGGAGACGAGAACCAAACAGGGTGCAATGTAGCACCGATGAAACACAACATTCCTCTAGTTCATTAATGCTTCCTCCCCCTCACTATCATGACCCCAATGCCACCTTAACAAATCTGGTTAGATCAGAGCATGTACACAGGTACAGATAAGAACTGGAAACATAGTTTTCTTAAATGCATCTCATAAGAAATCTAGATTTTAGTTTTTTAGTAGTGCTGCTATATGCACCATTGTATGTCAATACAATCTAAATATTCACATTTTCATAATTTCTATCACTAATTGCAGTCCTAGCAGTGAAATTTCTGAGTTAGAATAATGAATTAGTGTTACATCACAGAGAATGTATACCAAGGATTGGCAAGCTGTTTCTAAAACTCCAGATAGTAAATAAGGTTTTATGGGCCATGTTGTATTTCCTAAACTAGTAAAAGAATGCAGGTGTAGACAATATATGCAAATAATGGGAATGACAAGTGGGTCTGGGTGACAGGTGGAATTTAATGGGCCAGTTTGTACAGTCACGCATCACTTAACGCCCACTCAACATCTAATGTGTAAATAAGTTGGAACAGTTAGTCAAATGTTTGTCTTAGTGTGTATTAAACTTTCTATGTGTAAGAAAAAAAACTAAACACTTCCAGATACACTGAAACATCTCTAACAGCAGAGCAGTTAGTAATATATCATACAGAAATAATATTATTTGGTGCACATCACAACATTGTACTTGTCTGTTATTGTGGACCACTGTACCTTGAATTTTCCGTGGCTTTACTGATATTGGGACCATGGACTTTATACATGAGACCACGTGACTTTATTTCATGCTGGACCCACGTAGACAATATGGAATGTTAACTCTCCGTAAAGAAGATCCTTTGTGAGCGGAATTAGTCTGTTTGTTACCCAGGTGTCTTACTTCCCCTTGCACACCTGACGAGCTTGCTCCTGACCTCCCCCGCCTCTCCCACAGGTACGGGCTGGAGTGCCTTTTCCGATACTACAGTTACGGCCTGGAAAAGAAGTTCCGTTTGGACATCTTCAAAGATTTCCAGGAGGAGACCGTGAAGGACTACGAAGCTGGTGAGAGCAGGAGTTGGATCTCCATGGGTCACGATCACAGGGGCCACTTTCCAGACAGACCTGTTTCCCGGGGGACCCGTCCCATTACTGTGCCAGCTCCTCCATGCAGCCAGCTTCTCCACCTCTCTCTGTTCTGCTACAGGACAACTCTATGGGCTGGAGAAGTTCTGGGCCTTCTTGAAATATTCCAAAGCCAAAAACTTGGATATTGACCCCAAACTGCAAGAATACCTCGGCAAATTCCGACGCCTTGAAGACTTCCGAGTGGATGTAAGTGAAACTCTCCCTCACCCCCTTGTGTTCTGAGAAACGAAAAACTACCACAAACCAGAATCTGGGCTCAATTCTGCCATCAACCCAGAGGGACCCTTTACCCCCATGTGGGCCCTAATTGGTTTTTGGTGTTTTGCTTCCATTTGTAAACTGGCAGGTGAGTGTGGAGTTGTTTGGTGATTGTCCCTGCCTCTCTATTGTAAATGAATCGAGACTCCCAAACTGCCAGCGCATCGCCTCTGGCAGCCTTTCCCTCCTGCCTCGCCGTCCACTCACCAGAACCTGGAGGGCCACTTGTGTAGAGTCGGCTGTGAACCACAAGGCCAGCACTTCAGAACCTCCCGTAGTCACAATTTAGTCTTAGAAAGCCGCCGGACCGGTTTTACTCTGCCCTGCAGCATCACTCTGAGTCCAAATCTACTCAATCAATGGCAGACAGTTTAAGTTTTGAGTCTATCTGTAGCGGCACACAGATAGAAACTGAAATATTGTCTGGGCCGGACCAGCCACAGAGGTTTGTGAATTGATTCTCCTCCTCCTTGGAGCTGTGCCTCAACAGTGACATCTAGTGGTGATTGTGGAGTAGTGTGTTCAGTTGATAAAGCCCTTCACGTTTATTTTTTTAAGTGGCCCTTGATGAATGCCTGCTGTGTGCCAAGCTTTGTGTGGGGCACTTTATATTGGTGTCATTTAACACATAGGCAGGGCTTCTTAGAAATGACATAGTGACACAGCTGATAAAGCCTCCGAGTGGGGCTTTGAGAACTTGAAACCTTGGAGGTGGGAGGACACATGGAGAACACCTGTAACGGGCAGGCTTGAGAGCGTGGTTCAGGATGAGCTCAGCCAGTGTATCCGACTTAGTTCCGTGCACTGTGTCAGGCCTGGAGGGGCCCCCAGGAGCATCTGAACCTTCTGAACGGAGGCTTCTCAGCTTAGTGTGTTCTCCTGCACCAGCCAAGTTCCTCAGAAGAGGAGCGGACACATGGATAAGTCTGGGCTTTGGGGTAGATGGCCTGGTTCAAATTGAGTGTCCAGTTCTTAACTGACTCTGGAACCCTGGACAAAATTACACCTTGGGTGTGAATGGTACCCACTAACCGTGGTAACCCCCTTTTTTGCAGCCCCCTATGGGTGAGGAGGGCAACCACAAGCGACACCCAGTGGCAGCAGGAGGTGGCAGCGGTGAGGGCAGAAAGCGGTGCCCTTCCCAGTCTTCCAGCAGGACCACCACCATGATCAGCCAACCGCCCACGCCCCCCACAGGCCAGCCCATCCGGGAAGATGCCAAATGGACAAGCCAGCCTTCAGACACACAGACTTTGGGAAAGTGAACTGCCCTGTCGCCCTGGGGTGAGGGAGAAGGGGGTGGGGTGGGTTAGATGAGATGCCATGCAGGGGTGCCCGGTCCCAGGAGAGGAGACTTCAAAGGGACAGGCCTAGAGTTCTTGGGACAGGCTCTTGTGCTGAGGAGTGGTGTACACACCATGTGGTCTATCAAGAGGCACCCCTCTGGGCAGGAGCTTCCACATATCCCCTCCCTATCCTCTCTCCATGACTCTTCATATCCTAGCTTCTTCGTGGGGGTGGGGGTGGGGGGGAAGGGGGGGGAGATTTTTTTTATATATATATATATATACATATATATATCAAGTTTTAAATTATTGATAGTTCGTCTGGATTACCAAAATCACTCTGCAGCCTGCCCGCGGCTGGTAGGCCGCAACCCTGGTCCCCACCCGCAGCCTCTTCCTGCGTCCCCTCAAGCCAACTATGCAGCCTCAAGAAGGCACTGCGGGCCCGTTGTCCAGCACTGTCCCACAAAGGCTCTGGAAGCACCTGGGCCCCAGGAGCACTGGCCCCATGATCATCAGGGGCTTGCCACCACTGGTGTTCTCTGCCTGCTGTCCCACCCACCACACCCTTCTGCCATCGCCTGGAAGAAGGAAACCAAAGGATTTAAAAGTGGGGTTTGGGGGAAGGTTTCAACCCCTTCCCTACTCCCCTCTTCCCCTTATTTCCTGGCCCAGAGACGCTGCTCATACCAGAAAAGACTATTGAAAGATGATTTACTTTATTTTTCTCTGACCTTTCCATCCTTGTGAAAATGGGGGGTGGGGGGGACAAAAAAAATTTCAACCGTAAAAGACCAAAAAAAAACCCAAAACAAAAACAGAATAAAATCAGAAACACACCCCCAGCCCCCGCCCGCCCCATCCTCCGGAAGTTACGTCTTTCCTCTACCCTCGGTTGTTTTTTGTTGTTGTTCTTGGAAATAATATTTTTTTAAAAGTTGCCTTATTGTGGAGTGGGGATCTGAAATACCCAAATGCCTGTTTTCCTCGCTGGAGTCCGCTCCTGGAGCTCCCACCTTCTCTGGATGTGCCTGGGCTTGGATTGGCTGGACCCTTTCTCTGGACTGAGTTGCATGTGCCACGCCTCCTGGCTGGAGGTGAGAGAGTTGAGGGCGGCTTCCATCCAAGCTGCGCCCGCAATATCCCTGCTGTTGCATCGTCGAAGCTGACGTCCCGTGTCTGTACACTGCTGCCTCTGTTGTGTCCTCACTCTGCTTGCTGTTGTCTCGCACCGGATCCCGTCCTTCCGGGACACCTTGCAACCTACCCTTGGAACCCCAAGGCCAAGTTTGTTTCAGACTGTTGAGAACAGAGTTGGCCTACATCTGGAACACTTGCCCTCCGCTTGAACGTCTCCTCTACCGCAGAGGGGGACTGCACCCCCTGGCAGCTGCGGTGTGGCAGTGTTTATGTGCTGGCCTGAAAGATCTGAGCCTTCCACGAGGCTCTTGTCCCTCACAGAAGGTGGAGAGAGGTGCCATGTCTCCTCCCTCAGGTCTGGTGGGCTCTCCCCCCATATTGTACTCCCTTCTGTGAGCAATCTCTGCCCACCCTCCAGTTGACTCTGCCTGGAAAGAAGGGGTGAGGAGTTGGGGGCTGAGGGGGAACCCTGCCAGCAGCTGAAGCCCTGTGGCAGGAAGGTATATGTGGACATAGAGTATACCTGACTTCTCCAGCCACTAACTGCCTGGGTTGGGCTGTGAGTGACAGTGGAATGGCTGGGGTGTATCCTGTCATCACATGCTAAGGAGGGTGACCAAGGGCTGGCCACACAGACTTTGGGGTGTGTATTGGGTAAAGGCATGACTGCTTGTTTACCCCCAGTGGGAACCAGGCAACAGGAGAGGAGTCTGTGGTCTTGATGCTCAATTGCTGGGAGGTCATTGCCCCTCTCAGATGGTTCTTGTGTTGGGCCCAAAGGTTGGGAGTAGGGGACACGGTCCTAGGCTTGCCTCTGTCTCCAGGGCACATCCCTGCCTTTAGCCTGCACCTGCCCCCAGCTTGGCCCTGCCAGTGGTTAGTGTGTGGGAAACTCCAGCGCTCACAGAAGAAGCCACGGGGGTCAGGTGAGTGAGTGGTCTCGCCAGGACGATGGGATCGAAGGCCTTTCTCTGCCCCACATTATGCCAGACACTGGACTCCTGGGAACCCTTCCATCACTCCCCCTTTCCTGCTTGGGGTCACTCAGCCCTGTACTGTATCCGGCACCACAGAAACCTCAGTACTTGTCCTTGGCTGGGTTTGGGAGCATAAGGAAACAGGCGGGGGGCGGGGGGGCTGTGATCTGGAGTTTGTCTCCAGGTCAGGGGCTGCCATCCTCTCCCTGACTCCCCCTCCCCCTCCAAGAAAAAGCCCCATTGGGGTGGCAAGGTGAGGACTTCATCTCAACTGAGGTGGGGGGAGGGGGGTCCTTTTTCTTTTGGTAACATGTTAGGAGTTGATGTTGCAAAGAGTAGTTTACATCTTCACTTTCTGAAGACACTTGAATTTAGGACCGGCGTATCTGTGACAAGCATGTCAGGAGTGGCGGGCCACCAGGACTTTGCCACTTCACACCCACCAGGAGTCCTCCCTTGGGGGATCCAAGACCTGAAACAGCAACGCCCCGCCCCACATCCCTGTGCTCATCCCAAACCCTTCCAAAGTTGGTCCACGCCAACACGCCCTGTGATCACCAGACACCACCAGGTCTGTGTGCCTCAACCCTGGCCAGGGATAGGTGTTCGTGCCCTCCATGGAATCTGGGGGCAATGCAACACCAGGACAGAAGGGCCCCAGCCTGGGACAGGCGTCATGCTGAGCCTGAAGGTCGGAGTTAGATTTTGTTTTGTTCCATCACAGCTACCCCCTCACCCCACCTCTAAATTTTATGAACGAAAGAAAATAAAGCGGCTCAGAAGACCTTGGAAGGAAGCAAAGAGGCAAGGAAGATGACTTGGGAGGGTCGCAGGGCAAGGCTTGCCAGAATCCTGGTTAGCAATGTGGCTCTATCCTGAAGGGGACCCCAGAGTCTCCTGTGTGCAAGGTCTGGCTCGGCCCGAGCCCCGCGTTCCTTGAGCCGTGTGGATGGCAGAGGCAGAGATGAGGAACGGACAGCCCATTCTCACTGCAGAGGCGAACTGCTCACCTGGCTTTGCAGAGCAGGGCCCGCCTCCCGCTCAGAGTACCTTCTCTTTACCATGTGCTGGGAGATCACATTGAAAAGGACAACAAAATACAGAAAAGGAAATGTGTAAAATACTTGAATGAGCTTGTATTATAACATTAATATTATTGAGAGTATCTGCTTTCCAGGCTGAAGTGATTCATTGAGTATTCTAGTCCTGCTTTAGTCCTTTGTAATTTGTGGTAATTATGCTTTTCTTTTTAATACAAAAAAAATGTATAAAAATAAAAACTTGAAAAGGCAAAATAGTGGCTTGTCTCCCATCTGGGTTTCAGCTGGGGGTGGGGGGAGGCAAGGACGACTCCAGGCAGGGACCTGGTGAGAGCCCTGCTGGGGGTATGGCTCCACGTGGAGCTGCTATGGCTGCTTGTGCAGCCAGGCAGCTTCTGTGGTGTCCTGCATTCCCTCCTCACGGGCTGGGAGGTGGGGGAGCTAGTCCATGCCACGAGACGGACAAGCCATTCTACAAAAGGAGTTGCAGGCCACTGTATACTCTGAACATCGTCTCAGGAGCCAGGAGAGAGTTTGCCTCATTGTGTGGGGAGAACGAACCCTCATCCCGTGATGGGCCCACCTTGTTGCCCCCGAAGGCCCGCTATAGGAGCAGATTCTGAATGTTTTGTCTCTGGCCCAGGATGTGTGATGACAGCACTAAAAGGGAGGTGGCGCCTATTTATCCATTGCTCTGACCAGTCTCCTACGGCCGTCGCCTGAACCGTCCCTAGACTAGCCCTCCAGAGAGTTCATTCACCGGTGCACAGGCACTTCAACACCCCCCACTTCTGATAGCACCCATAGGCCAAAGGTGAGAATGTCCAGGACTCCAGGCTCAACCAAAGGTTACTTGGGAGGAATCGGGCTTCATTCTCTTCTTCACCTTGAAACAGGCCTTGGTGGGTGTGCCCTCTGCACTGACGTGCTAATGGAGAAGGAGATCTAATGAAGTGCAAGGAGACTTTTCCACGCTTCCTCTTACCTGCTGGGAGTTGCAAACTCGTCCTTTTATCTGTCTCCCCATCACAGGGTTTCTCCCTGTTTGATGTAGAAGAGAGAAATCGCCACCCCAGCCCAGGTGCCCACCACAAGCCTCGAATGAAAAGATCTTGGGGAAAAGCGCGTATCCACATTGGCTTATACACTTCTTCCCGAGCCCCGACCCTTCAACATTCCACACAGAATGACTTTCTAAATGTTTATTTGTAGAAATTAGTCATGTACATGAGCTTCCAGCTGTGCAAAGAGCTGTCACAGCGAGGGAGCTTGTTCCACCGAGATGTAACTGGGAGGCGGGGCAGGTCCTCCCGAGCTGGGGGACCATGAGGGGAATGTCATTTTGGGTATCTGCCTGGAGACTTAGCCTATTAAAGTTAAAACTATTTTATGAAACGTGTTTTTCGTGGCAGAAGAGAAGGGAAAGTTCCAAAGTGCATTGTAGTTTGTACAAGAATCGAGTTGATGGGGTGCTCCCCAGTTACACTACTGCTCTTGGGAGCTGCAAGGCACCCCACAGTGCCGAGCTGAGACCAGGAGTAGGGCTGTGTGCTTTCGTTACCCCAGGGGTTTCAGGTAAGATTTCATTACACTTTTGGGGACTCACAGGCGCCGTTTCTACCCTTCCTGGCCCTGCTCCATGGTGGTTACCAAAGGGCACTCAGTTGAATGGCCCCAAAGGCCAGCACTGCTGACCCCTGCTTGGCTTTGGTGTCCACGTAAAGCTGAAGTTGAAGTTTGCTGTTTCCATCTAAGCTGCCGCTCTTGTCTGGCTGGTGTTTCATTTCGGAAGTTTGGGGGGAGGGGGCAGAGCTGAGGCAGGGCCTTCGATACAGGGAGGGGGTAAGGCTGTCAGGGGCTGTGGGGACTGGACTGGCAGGGTCAAAACAGGCTCCCTGTAACCTGCCCAGGCTGTTCTGGCCAAATACAGTACCAGAAAAGCTTCTTATACCATTTGCCCCCCTGCCCTGCGCTGCAAGCTCTCCCTGGGGCCACCTGTCCCACCACAGGTCACAGAGGAGCCCGCCCAGTGCTGGCCTCCATCTTGGGGAATTTTTTTTCTTCCTTAAACCAACCCCTTGTCCCCTACAGGAGTACAGGCTGTCCCTGCTACCTGGAAGTGGTGTTCTACCAACCTGGTGTAAGCAAAAATGAATGGGGAGGCGCAGTTAACCATTTCAGAAAACTTTGGACCCCAAAAGTAAGGTGACCGGATTTTAACGTTGGTAAAGTGGGACACCATTGATAAAACTTATATCCTGGCGAAGTAGCCACATGGCAGCTGAAAACCGTATACCCTAGCTTGTGCATTCTTTCCAAAAATCAGGACTTTTTAAAAACGCCGCGGGACATGGGAAAAATTGTCAAAAATCAGGACTGTCCTGCCAAAAGCGGGACGTCTGGTCACCTTACCCAAAAGTCACCTGCAAAGTGACACAAAACCTAAAGCAGCACTACCGTAGAAGGTTCGGTAAGGTAAACCTATATGACAGAAAGCAGTTCTCGGGGACAGACTGCCAACGCCACTTGGGTGCACGTTGCTGAAGGCTAGTTTTTGTGACACCCGCCCCTCCAAATTGTCAGAAGCCTCCTCCGGATTTTGTTCAGGTGGTGGCTTTTCATGCACGGCTCACTCACTGCCTTCGAGCCAATGCCGGCTCATGGCGGCCCAATGGGACACGGCCGATAACTGCCCCTGTGCATTTCCAAGACGAACTGTGGGGGTAGAAGCAAGGTGAGAAGCAAACCTTGGAAAAGTGGGGATGTGCCGGGGCAGTGGTTCGGGAGAGCCCCGGGCCCGCTTTGCATGCTGTTAAGCGTGCGGCTCTAGGAATCAGTTGTCAGGTGTGCTTGCTAGTCTCGGGCTGGTGCTCACTCACTGCTAAGGGGCAGTAGCAGTGGCATTAGGGCCGGCCCTCACTTCATCTTTGGGGAGTCTGGGATACTCTCAGAGAGTGGGGTGAGGCCCAGCAGCAGGACGTGTCTCTCGTATGCTTTGGTCTGCTTAAACAGCGTGTCAGTCCCGTGGAGGTGGTCTAGCACTCCCAGCACCCCATAGCACTGGGTGAACCTGGTGGAGAGAGAGGTAGGGGTGGTGGGGTCAGGCGGGAAGACTGGGGAACAGGCTCTATTTCCTGGGGGCTTAAGGCACTTCCAAGCCCTCGTACCCACCGCCATCCTGACTACCTGCATCAGAGTAACTTGGGGGCTAAGAAAGGTGTTGGCTCCTGAGGCTCCCCCAGCCCTGCCAAATCTGGAGCCGTCTTCTGGCACCCCCATCCCCAGGTGATTCTGATGCAGGTTTGAGGACCCTGGCAGAGCTGGGCTCGTTTCTGCATCATTTGCGTGAAACACACTGAAGTGCTGATTTCCCGGCCCTCCCCTCCCAATGGTTGGGTTCGGGTGAGCGGGTACCAGGGGGGCACTGACCATGCCTGGGGGCAAAGGCTTTCAGAGAGTCCGGTTAGGGCTGGCCTGGACATAGGCACGGGTCCGAAGAGAGTGGCTATAGTTCACGTTAGATACTTGAAAGGGGGTGGGGGGGACTGGGGACCAGGCTACATTTCCTGGGGGCTTAAGGCTTAAGCCCACAATCCACATAAAGGTTAAGAAGCCCCAGTTACAGGAGGACCCAACGGGGGAAAAGGACGAGGGGAAAAGACAAGGTGCTCTGGGTCCGGTGTGGTCCTGTTTCTCCCCTGCAGAGGTCCCTGCCCTCAGTGGCACCCACTATTACCTCCCAGCAGAAGCCCCAGGAGAGAGGGTGGTGGCCTTACTTGAGATGGTGGTAGTCGTGGAATTCAGGTGAAGGCAGGAACGGGAGGTGGTAGCCGCAGTGGGAGATGGTGGTGGTGATGAGGGCCAAGGAGAACCATATGGTGATGGATGACAAGTGGGAACCCATTACTAGGGGACCCAGGACAGGTGGCAGCATATTGGACACCTGCAAAGAGAAAGATGGTTGAAGGCAGGACACAAGGTGATAGAATTCATGTGGGTGCCCCCTTGGCCTGAGGAGTACCCGGAAGACTCCTCGGGGCAGCTCTGGAGAAGCTGAGAGGGTTTCAGTATGCCGATGTGTTGAAGACTTGTTCATCCTTAACTTTGGACAAGTTCGTACACAAGCCTCCACTTTGCCATTAGCATGACCTCTAAAGAGGTCCTCTCTGTCACCCTTAGCCCCTCCACCGCACATCCGACAGAAGGAAGCCCTGCCCGGCCTGCGCCAGCCTCACAACTCTTCCTGGGCTTGCACCCCTGTGGCAGCCAGTGTCCATCTGCTTCGCTGCGGGCCTGCCTCTCGAGGCCCCTCCAGAGGACCACGCATGAATGAAAGCACCCTGGGCTGCTGAAAGGACAAATGTGTCAACAGAAGGATGGCCAGAATGCTCTTCAGAGCAAGGACGGCGAGATTTTGTCTCACCTCCTTTCGACTTGATGTCAGGCGAGGCCAGCCCCTGGAGAAACACAGCAGGCTTGGTAGAGGTGTGCGGGGGAGGTGCACACGTGATGGCCTGCCATCTAGCAGAGTGTCGTATATGTGTTGTCAGCAAGATGTGGTGAGTGAGTGTGGGTCCCCTGCCCTTTGCCTTTGGGGAGGGTGGATTGTGACTCACCAAGTGCTCTACAGGGTGGGCATAGAGCGAGACCACACCAACGGGGGCTGTCCACTCGTGGTGTTTCTTGTGGATCTTCTTGTAGAGAGCTGGGTGGTGAAAGAGCCTGGAACATGGAGGCAAAATCGTTTCTTTGCAACGCCCCTCCTCACTCCCCCAACCATACCATGCAAAGCCCTATGACTCAACCCTGCCACAGCTTGGAACTCCCAGCCCCAGCCCCAGCCCCAGCTTTGAAGCTGCATGTATATCTGCTGTGAAACAGGGAGGGGGGGTGTGTTACATGCCCAGAAAGGGTTTAACATGGAAAAGCACAGGGAACACCCTGCATCACACAAGCGGAGAAGGTGCTTTTCTGTGTACTCCCTAGCTGTCCCAAGTGGTCAGTGTGAGTTAAGTCCTTGTGGGAGGCACTTGTGGCCAGGGGATGCTGGTCCTACACCTGCAATCCAGGGAGCCCTGGGGTGGCTGTGCTCACCGGTGTGAGTAGTAGAACATGACTTCTTCCACCAGGGTGAAGATGACCAGCTCCAGGAGGAACCAGTGGAAGGTGGGCAGCTCTCGGCGGCACGGGTCTCCCCACCACTTGAGGAAGGGGTAGAGGGCGATCACGATGGGCAGAGAGATCACGAACTGATTGAAGAGAACGGCCCGGAGGGCCTGGCGTAGTTTCACAGGGTCCACCTGTCCGAGAGGAGGGAGATGGGTAAGAGTGTGAGAAGTCAGACTACTGCCTATTGTCCCTTCTAGAAAGCAGGCTGCCCTGTGCCCACTTGAGGTAGATGCTGGGAGAGAGGGCTGGTCAGCCCTGGGTTGCCAAGCAGCTCAGGTTTGGAACCCTTGCAGTAACGAGGTCCAGGGTATTGGGTGAATGAGTAATGCCTTTAGAAACCCCTCCCTTCAGAAACTTCCCTCCAAGCAACCTTCTCCGCCCTGGTTCTGGGTGGGCGTGTGTGTGTGTGTGCGCGTAATGCTACTCTCCTCATTTCTCTGACCAGATGGGAGCAGAGAGATCACTTGGGAGTTGGTAAGGCCCCACGTACTCCTGCAAGATCTCTCGGGGACCATAAGGTGTTGGGAGAAGGCAGTGGACTCTCCAACTAATATTCCAGTCCAGCCCTCCAGCCCTCCGCATGCTGACACCAAGGTCCTTTGCTGACCAGCCCAGCCCAGCCCCCAGCTGGAAGAAGGAAGTGAGCCAGGGAGTTGCCTGTCTAGTTACGGACTCACTTCATGTGACCTGGTTTTCACGGCAGAGCTATGGGGATGGGGACCTGCCTGAGATCCCTTCAGGGTCCAGTGTTGAGAGCTGGCTTCAGCTCTCTCATTGGACCTCAGTACTGCCGTGTTTCCCTGAGAACCAGTCACCATTGACCCTTGGCTTTCTCAGAACACGCCAGCTCCACAGAATCTCTTCACAACCACAGGTCATTTGCCGGGTCCTAATGAACTCCCTGAGAGTTGGCCAGGAGGGATTTCTCCCTGAGCTCCCTCAGCAAGTTGCATGGGAGCTACGTGCAGAGTGGCCCCAGATGAGAGACCTTCCTCTTCCTCCAGCCTTTCCGGACCTTACATGTGTTAACTGACTTCGGAATTCGCTCTTCACTCCTTGGGATGCAATACATCTGGCTAGCCCAACCGGAAAGCACGTGTAAGGCAAAGGCACAACTTCTGGAAACCTTAACCAGGATGGAGTTGTATCTATTTATTCCTGATATGGACTGAGTGCCCGCTCAGTGGATAAGGGGCTTCACAATGTTCTTGGGAAAATGGAACTAAATGAGAATAGAATTCTGCCAACATGATTGGCATTCCTGTGTGGACAGCAGGAAGTCCTGCCTGCACCGTTGGGTGCCCGCCAGCTGCTCGCCGGGAGCTAGCCGCTTCTCTGAAGAAAGAGGTCCTGGAAACCCCTCTGGGGGGCTCTGTTGAGTAGCCCCAATGGCGGCGGGTTTCGTTGGGTTAGAGTTTGGTTTTATTTAGCAGACTGTGTTCTAGGCTCTGTGAATCGAGCAATGGGTAAAACAAAAAGACTCTTGTCTCCATGGAATTTGCATTCCGTGACACAAGATTACTCAAAAAAAAAGGGATGACAAATGATAAAAACTGCAAGCATTTTCCAAGTATGTAACAAAGAGAAGTAAGTCCTGATACATAGTACAATGTGGGGGAACCTTGAAAACAGCTGAGTGAAATGTTTGTCACAAAAGGATAAATACTGCAGAAGCCCACTAACATACAGTCTCTAGAACGGGCATGCACAGAGATCAAAAGTTTAGTAGTAATCGTTAACAGAACCGGCGGGGGTGCTAAGGAAGCCATTGAGCTTCTGTTACCAAAGACGCATTGCCTATGAATCATTTCTGATCCGACTCATAGCAGCCCTATAGGACAGGGTAGACCTGCCCATGGGGCGTCCAAGGCAGCATGAACCTCTGTGGAAGCCGATTGACACATCTTGTTCCTTTGAGGCAGCCAGCCAGTGGGCTTTAAGAGATTGCATGTTTCTGTGACACTGACGGAAAACTGCAGGAGCTTGGCAAGTGTTCTGTTGCCTTGGTATCACAACTTAAAATATATACATTTGTACCTGAGAGGGTTTCGATAAGTTCATGGGTAAGACTTGAAAGATAATGGAATTTTCCTCCGAACTTTTTGAAGCTTCTTTGCATTGGAAAGGGTTCCTGTGCTTTGGAATTACAACAATAGAGGCGTGAGATGATGGTGACTGGACCTTCCTGGTAGCAAGAGAGGTGTGAGAATTGGTTGGCATTTGGACCTGTTTTGAAAACAGAAGCAGGAAGTTTTCTGAGCAGATTGGGTTTGGTGCCTGAGAGGAAGCAAGGAGGCGAGGCTGGCTCCATGGTTTTTGTCCTGAGCAGCAGGAAGGGTGAGACCGCATCGACTCCGATTGGGAAGGGTGTGAGTGGGAAGTCTTTTGGTGGGGGGACCAAGTTCCGTTGTGGACATGTTGGAGATGTACAGTAGAGAGCCAAGAGCCCATATCAAGTAGGTGGGTTGGTGTTTGAGCCCAGAGTTCAGGAGACAAATGTCAGGGTTGTTGCCATATAGATGGTAGAAGTCACGATTGAAATCTCGGTTGAGAAGAACCAGCAGCTGAGACTGGGAAGGAGGAACCAGTGAAAGCAGAGAAACAGGAGAGCGAGCTGTCTTAGAAGCCAAGTGAAGAGAATCCGCCCAGGACCGGGGAGTGAGCCGCTGTGCAAACGCTCCTGGAAGGCTACGAAGACCAGGATTGAGACTGGCTCACGGGTGACCGTGCCGCGAGAAAGACTGGTCGAAGGCTGCAGCCCGACAGGAGCAAGGTTAGAGAGAAAACTCGCCACACCAAACTCACTGCCATCGAGGCAATGCTGACTCACAGCGGCCCCGTGGGCTTCCGAGACTGACTGTTCAGTCAGAATAGAAAGCCCTGTCAAAACCATCAGCAGCTCGGCAGGAGAAAGACTGGGCTTTCTACTCCCATAACCAGTTACAGTTACTACCCCACCAGGGCTCCCGTAGATTATAGAGAAGGTGAGATAAAGTTCTTGCGGTTATTTTAAGAGATGGGGTAGTTTTATGGTACCTGGAACTTACTGTCAAAGGGTTAAGCCAAAAATTAGAGATGTACATATTTATATTTTGATACACGATGCTTTGGCTAGCAACCACTGAGACGGCACCTCCCTGACTCCACTCACAGGGACAACTTGCTGCCTGGTCCTGAACCAGCCCCATGACCAACTGTAGATGGGACAGTGTCAGAGCAAGCAAATATGCTAACATTTTTTCATTCAATATATCTTAAGTGTTGGGGAAATGTGTGTTTGGAATTTTTCATCATCACGAAATAGTGGGTGACAAAAACGAAGGAACGGGATTGGGAACTCTAGACAGCTCCTCCCAGAGCTGTGACGGAAAGGAGAGAAAAATGGATGTTAGGTGCGAGTGGTCGAAGGAGGCCTGGTGGGGCTAGAGGTTAGGCGCTGGGCTGCTAACCGCAGGCGCGGCCACTCTAACCCACGGACTGCTCTGCCCACCACTTGTCCGTCAGTTTGTCACACTGCGGTGGCTTGGGTGTGGCTATGATTCTGGAAGCTGTCACAGGTATCTGAAAGGCCAGCAGGATCACCCAGTGAGAACACGTTTTAGAGGGGCGTCCAGACTCAGAGCAGACACTGCAAAAGGACTCTGCTCCTTTTTCGGAGGAAGAAGCCACTGACAACCTATTTGCACTTGAACTGTGGTTCTGGAGAAGAAGACTGAACGTATCATTGACTTCTAAAAGGACAAACAAATCTGTCTTTGAAGAAGTAAAGTCAGAGTGCTCCTTAGAAGTGAGGATAGCATGACGTTGTCATACAGATGAGGGGTGCCCCCTCACCCACACAAAATGGAACTGCACTGGGTGAGCAGAGCTTTCAAAGTATGCATTTTCCCCACTAAGCGAGCATCGAGCAACTTATTCTGGATTAGTGCACCCAGTGGTGTTACCTGGAAAGGTTCTCTCTGGTCACAGTGAGTTTTTTGTAAAAGCAGTTTCGTTTGAACCTTGTTTTTTTGTGATGGCTGATTGAAGAGAACAGCGTACAGCTGTGAAATTCCGTTTCCTTCTTGGGAAAAATGCTGCAGAAACTGTTGTGATGTTGAACACAGCTTACAATGGAAAAAACTCAAGTGTCTGAGTGGCTTTCTCATTTCATAAAAGGTGAAATGTCAAGTGATGACACCCGTTAACGTCCCGAACAAACAAAAACGTCGGTTCACGGTGCATTTGGAGTCATCCCAGCAGGTCAGACGGTTAATCGAGCTTTCTATGTAGAGGTTCTGGAAAGATTGTGTAACAGTGTGCGACAAAACAGGTCTGATTTGTGGCAGACGGGGGAATGGGTTTGTCACCACGACAATGCACCTGCTCATGCAGCCATCTCAATGCGTCAGTTTTTGGCAAAAAAGCTGCATGCACCTTGCCCCACGGACCTTACTCACCTGACCTTGAGCCATGGGACTTCTTTTTGTTTCTGTAAATGACATGAATGGACAGCAATTTGACAACGTAGAGAGGTGCTGTCAGCCATCCAAACAGATGAGTTTGAAAAATGTTTCCAAGAATGGAATTTCAGATTTGACAAACAAATGTATCAAGTGTAATGGAGAGTGTTTTGAAGGTGATAGAGTTGTTTTGTTAAAAAAATTTAAATACATAGCTTTGAAAAAAAATCTGGTTTTTTGGTGGGGGTACGTACCCCCTTTGTACTTTGGCCATATTGGCAGGAGAGCCCAGTCCCTGGAGACCAGCTGTCATGTTGGTAAAGAGGAGGGCAGTGAAAAAGAGGGAGGGCCCCGGCCAGGACTCGCACCGTGGCTGCATCAGTGGACTCAGGCCTGGGGACAGTTGTGAGGCTGGCCCAGGACCGGCAGGGCTTCCTTCTGTTGTGCCCAGGGTTGTGGTGGGTTGGAGCTGACTCTATGGCACCTAACAACAACAGTCACGCCTCGCAGGAGAAAGTGAGGCTGTCTGTAGAGATTTACAGTCTCAGAAACCCTAAGGAGCAGTTCTCCTCCTGTAAGGTTGCTATCGATCGGAATGGGCGTGGTAGCGATGGAGGAGTGGATATAGCAAGGGAAATCGTGGTTTGTATTTTTAAGTGGGGGAACTTACAGCACACGTGTAATAATCCACCAGAGGAATCAATGCGAGAGAAGGGAAGAGAGGATGGTACTTTTTGATATACAAGAAAGAGCAGGTAAGAGGTGAGGGGGTCAGATGGAGACACTGGCTATAGATAGGAGCAAGGGAGCATTCACCTGGCACCAGGTGAAAGAGCATGTGTGGTGTATAGGTGCTGTTGGTAGGCAGTAGCTGTGGGAATGTGTGAAAGCGCTCTTCTTGCTTCTGCTTCCTCAGCCAAGTGGGCGTGAGGTAACCCTGTGTGAGGGAGGTCCGGAGACGGTGGAGGAGATTTGCGAAGCAGGAGGCAGCAGGATCAATTCATCCACAAAGATGGATGAGAAACCTGAGCAGGCTATGGGCAGAATCCACGCCCCCCTTGCAGATGTGCTCCTCATGCTTTCGACCAGCGATGGCCAAAACCTGTGGCAGACCCTTCCTACTTGGGCGTGCACCTGCGCGTCCCCACGAGGGACAGTCTAGAGTGAGTCAGATGAGGTGAGCCCGGGCTCTGTGTCCTCATAGCAACCCAACCTGACCCCGTCACTCCGCCTTTCTGAGCCTCCACGTCTGCAAAATGCGACAAGACCCTCCGCTTGTCGCTCTCCAGTCTCATAGACGGTGCTGTAGATGCGAACTGATGTTCTTGCGAGCTGTGTAGCCTCGCCTCTCAGCCCAGAGCGTGAGCCCAGGACTCAGAGAGGCCCGAGTTTGAATCACGGCTCCACCCGTATCATCTCCATTGGCCCACGGAACGTTCCGTTTCCTCATATGAACAATGACAGAGGTTACGTATGGTCCTTGGCCTTGAAGAAGAAAGCATGCAGTCAATGATGCGTGCTAAAGAGATCACTGTGATCTGACAAAGGTTCTAAGAGCCACACATTGGCTTTGGCATACGAGAGAGACCCCAACCCCAGGCTTGCTGAGTTGGGCCCAGGGGAATTTCTTGCTGGCTGGCAGCCCTGACAAAGGCCTGGGTCAGGAGCAGTTTGCGCTCCGTTCTGCCCTTCTGGGGTGCGAAGCTGCAACAAAATGCCCTGAGAGCTGAGGCGATTCACCCAGCGAGGATTAACGTACATGTCTACGTATGCATGGATGTATGCATCTGTCTAGGAAAGGGCTAGAGGTAGTTTAGATGGAGCGATGGAAAGAACTGGGGTTGTAGAATCAACGTTTTCCTTCTTGTTTCACAAAAGGCTCCTGAGGTGGGCAGAGCACCCACTGACCCGTGGGGCTCAGGGAGCAGTGGGCCCTCCTCTGGGCGCAGTGTAAGTTGGAGATGTGTACACTAGCTGTCGAGTCAGTTCCGACTTATAGCAACCTTGTGTACAACAAACAACACAGCCTGGTCCTGCGCCATCTGCACAGTCCTGCCGATGTTCCAGCCCACGGTTGCAGCCACAGGGTCAATCCATCTCATCTAGGGCCCTCTTTTATGCTGACCTGCTTTACCAAACACGATGTCCTCCAGGGAGAAGGCCTCCTGGTGACATGTCTCCAACCTCACTTCCAAGGAGCGTTCTGGATGCCCCTCTTCCAACACCCATTTGTTTTTTCTTCTGAAATTCCATGGTCTGGTCCGTATTCTTCCCCGACACCTTCCTTCGAAGGCATCATTTCTTCTTCCGTCTGTCTTCGTCATTGTCCAGTCACTCCAGGAATATGAAGCGCTGAAAATACCATGGCTTGGTCAGGCACACCTTAGTTCTCAAAGAGACATCTTCGCTTTGGGACACTTTTTTTTTTCACACTGGACAGCGCTTTATTGACACACACAGGCCCCACAGGGGAATCCAGGCCAGCCCACGCCTGCTGGACAGTCACTCCCTGAGGGAGGGGCCCCATAGGAGCAAAAAAACCGAGGGGGCCAGCAAGTGCTCTGGCCCTGGCCACACCTCGGCCTCACGGAGAGCAAGGGGTACACATTCAGTTGGCCTGTGTGGCCATGGCCTCATGGGGGAGCACGTAGTAGTCGTGGGCGTACATCAGCACCGCCACTGGCTGCCCGATGATGAGAGTCAGCCATACCACTGTGTTGCCATACTGGCCCATGATGAAGTGGCTGGTGAGCCATGCCAGAGGGACCTGTGCCGTCATGCCTGTGAAGGCCCAGAGCTGGAACAGTGCAGAGGGACGCTCACCAGGTACTCATGGAAGAAAGCCAAGGCCAGGAACATGCCTGTCCTAGCAGTCCTCTTGCCGGACCCACAGTGGAGCATGGGCTTGTAGAAGTGTCCGATGCACCACTTGTGGACGGGGATGTTCCAGTTCTGCCAGAAGCAGCTGACGGACCAGTCCCGATACAACTCTTGGTCTCCAAATCTCATGAGCTCAGCCCCCAGGTTCAGGCAGGAGTGGAAGAGCCAGTAGAAGAAAAGGAGCCAGATGAGGAGGTTGGCGACAGCCAGCTTCGGGAGGCGCTAGACGATGCGGGAGTAATCCATGTCCTTGAAGGGCTTCATGGAGTTCTGGATGGTGGGCACCATCCACTGCTAGATCAGCCCCACCTGGAGCTGCAAGAGGAAGAGCATCTCCAGGAGCCGCGCAGCTGGAAGTGTTTCCGGATCCGGGGGCAGCTGGAAAGTTGAGTTCTTAACACAGGGTGGAGGCAAAGAGAAAGTAGTAAAGGTCTCCGTGGGTCAGCTTGTCGGGGTAACTCACGGCGGGCTGTCCAGCAGCCCCATTGGCTCGCTTGTCGCCAGAGGCCGTGAGCTGGGCCCTTTGCTCGCGGCACCACTTGTTCACGTCCCGGTAGAAGCGCTTGAGGAAGAGGATGGTGTATACCACCAGTGCCACCACTGAGCCCACTGGTGTGATGGTGTCCACCAGGATGGCCACGGCGGCCGGCAGGCAGAGGGCAGTGGCCAGATTGGCCACATGCAGCAGCAGCCCCGCCTCCTCGCTCAGGGCTCCCACTGCCAAATGTTTCTCAATCTGGAACCCAGCCAGAGCGATGACTGGCCACAGTAACCAGGCACAGGGCTGGCCAGCTGTAGGGGTCCTTCAAGAACAAAGAGACCACCTGGATGGGGTCTACCGGATGCCATACTTAATGAGGTTTTCAGAAAACAGCCTCGTGTTGCTCAAGACCAGCCTCACCACCCACCGGTTCAGGATGCCTCGGTAGTTGCTGAAGCCACTGTCGGAAAGAGCAAGGACCCCTGCAGGTGGTGGCAGCTCAGCTTCCGGGGCCGCTGCGCAGCCCGGCGCTAAGGTCCTTGCCGGCTCCGGAGCGTCCCCGCGGGCGTGTCCCGATCCTCCT